TGTAGTGGCAAAGACTGTAATTGTACAGAAGATAGCCTACCATACTGCGATCAACGTGCAACTTCAAAGGAGTCTGTTTCTGCAAGTCTCAACCTCGCACGGAACCCTCAAAGACGACCATCTCTAGCGACAGCTGCACTGTAGTGGCAAAGACTGTAATTGTACAGAAGATAGCCTACCATACTGCGATCAACGTGCAACTTCAAAGGAGTCTGTTTTTGCAAGTCTCAACCTCGTACGGAACCCTCAAAGACGACCAGGTGAGTTTTACATACCCTAAATAGCACATGCTATAATAATTACATTCCAGATAATGATAATTACACTGGATGCACATGGCATTTATGGATTAATAGTTATTGTGGTGACAACTCGCACTTTCTAAAGGACAGCCATGCTATGTGAACTGACAAAAACTTCAACTGTGACCAGTGGTGACATGTGTATTGTAATCGTGTAAGTCAGGGAGGTTTCGACACAGTGTACTGGGGAGAACTCGACATGTCGAGTTATCCCTAATAAATCTTTTTCTGGTTATGAACCTTATGATACGGTGTTCACTTCGCATGGGATAAGTCAGCAACAGTTGATAATTTGACTAGTGAGTTTCGAAAATGTGGAATCTACCCATACAACCCTGGCGTACTGGCAGATGATGTCTTCGAGTATGAGCTTGTGCCAGCTCTGAATGGTGGAGATCCTGTTCGTCTTGAAAAGCCAAACAGGCGTATTGAAATGAAGACAATTATTAGCCGCCATTCAAAGCGACGGCTCGGGACGGATGTTCCCAGCTCCTCAGGTAACATCAACCGTGTTGAAAATTACTGTGGTGTGTGCAGTGCCTACTATTACGATGACAAAGCTGGCGAACAATGGGTTAAATGTCTCGGCGACTGTGGAAGATGGTTTCATGAAACTTGCGTGGAAAATGGAGCAGATAATCAGTTCACATGTAACGCCTGTTTTTAATTTTGCATATTTACTGTTTATTGACATTATTTTATGAATTCAAGTTGTTTCTGTTCAGTAGTTACAGTCTCCTAATATTTCCCATGCACATGTCGAAATCTCCCCAAACACAGGGAGAAGTCGACATTTTGCTTCCATTTCTTTTTTTGTTAATTGCACTGTTTCCCTTAAACTTACGTGCTTTATTATTGTAGTACAAATAAAACATACCTCCATGGATAATATATGAAAATTTCTGTTTTTAATTTTCAAAAAATATTCCTGAAGCCTAGAGTTTTTTCTTAAGGTGTCGAGATATCCCTAAATTACCCTATAAGATTTTCTTTAATTTCAAAAGTAAAATTATTCGGTTTCTTAAATTTGTTGTTCCTGTATTTATTGATATACATAAAAATTACCACGTCAACCCTGAGGTGATCCTCGTTCCCCACTGACTCTAGTTCGGGATATAACTATCTCTTTCTGCAAGAACAGAGAAGGTAAAAGTAGTGAGGAAGGATAGTTATAATGCGTACTTCACATTAAGATCTGTTCGTAGTAAAATACATTTCTTTAAGGCACGCTACAGTAAGTAAACAATTGAGCGAAAGCAAAATAGTCACCGTACAAAGTTATTAAATTCGTAACACTACATTTGTACCTGAAACGTCATACATGAATATTGTATCTTTGCCTGTATTTGGCTGTTATATTCAATATTGTACATGTATATATTTAGTTAATCTGTTGTGTAATATTTTTTTTAATATTACTTTATTATTATATGTATGTATGATCAGTGTTTGCTTGTTATTGGATTCTTGATTTTGATAGACAATTAAACAAATAAATTTAATTGAATGAAATGAATTGAATAATCAGATATTTGCATTGTAATCAACAAATATTACCGAATTAGGAACTACATAGTACTGCCGACGTAAAAAAGACGTTTATACTATGGATAATATATACAATTTCCTTCCTTATCTACTACACCTCCCATCCCCCTAATCCACTTGACTTAGGTTTCTGATGAGTGTCAAACGCGAAGATTCGCATCTACTCTTGCACCTGGGACAGTTGCCGAAATGTATGAAGAAAGTACGAATGTATGCACCACTTGCCTCGCCTTGCCTCGGATCTTAGGTAGGTAGGCTGTGAAGAAGGAAAATGAAAGGAGGTGTCTAAGGATAGTGTCCTGTGGCGGGCTTTGGTATTTTTCGCGGTTTGTCGTTTATTTAACGATGCTTTTTCATTGGCTTAGAATATATAGAATCTAATGAGAGGATGATAGTAAATTGGAAACGATGTGGAAGAAAGCGGTGGTAGGCCTAATTTAAGGTAATATTCCGGCATTTTACTGGAAAGACTGAGGAAAATCACGTAAACCCTAGTCTGGATAGCCGATCCCTAGTCTGAGATATGAACCTGGACCCTCCCGAATACGAAGCATAATGTAAACAAATCGACCATGACGTTCGGTCTTTCGTGCTGTCGGTGTTGAACCTGTGTGTTATGTTACCAGGGTGTTAGTTATTTTTATACGAAAATATGCATTTGTCTTCGCCGAAATTTGAGCATTTCTGTTAAATGTTAAATGTTCCACCCATCGCATGCCGTTTCAGTTAGTCACCGTAAAATCTGACAAATGGTACGTATTATTGGTGTTGGACCACTCGAACACATTCATCTTCAGTCCCCACCCCGCTCGATACAAGGATATGTGTCTACGTTTTCTGTGGCTTGTCTTTGGCGACCTGGCGACAGGGCATTTCCACTTCCAAATACAGATCTAACACTTCCTGTTTGTAATAGTTCCTACGGCTTTAGTAGTCCTGTAACGATGTGCTGTGTTCAACAACGTTCATTGTGTTTCTTAAGCTGACAAAAAAGTGGTACGAATTACGAAACTCCTCACTATGTGTTTTAAAAATACTATTTAACAACGTTCCTATAAGTGCGTTATTCAGAAAACGTTACTGAAGAAATTAATAGGCCTCCTCTTAATTGAGAATAAATACAGAACTCAAGAGAAAATGAACGTTTGTATAAAAAGTTTCATTTCACCTTCGTGCAAGGGCAAATGATTAGTGCTGGATTACGCAATGTCCCGCAGATTTAGATTATGAAAGTAGTCTGACATATTAGTGCTCAGCGAATACAACATAAGAATACACAATTTAAAACTTCATAAACGTTTTTCAGCTTAACGAATACTTATAAATATACTAACAAATAATACAAGTTAGCATTAATTCTGTTTATTTTAATAAACCCCAGTCTTATTTTAAACTTTGCGCAAGTGCTTACGTATTTTAAAACATCCGCTCAGCACGGGAAAACAGCCCACTTCTCGTAACTTCTTGTTCTCTTCAAACTAACAAATGCTGTTCTTACTACCTTTCGTTGCTGCCACGTAATTCCTCGTGACAGTAAATGACGAATGTCAAAGAACCGATTAAACATTCAGTTAACTAAGTGAGAATTTAAATTTTATCTACCCTAGTATGAACACAAGAGCTTTCTTGGATATTTTGGCGTGTAGTCTCGCAGACGTTAACTGCAATTTTAGATATATTTAGTGCCTCATTGTATTTATGACGCACGTAGTACCATTGAAACGTCGGCTAGCTTCTGCCAGACTACATAGAGGAACAAATAAAAAAGAGCCATCTTCAAACTCGTCGCCATGAGAACCTGCAACTTACTAAACAACATACGAGGTGCGATCGGAAAGTTTATAGACTGCGCCTATAAAAACCCGTACACTTATCTCAGGTATTAAATTCATCCATCACCCTCGAAGTAGTTCCCCTGGGAGTAAACACAACGATCCCAGCGCCGCTGCCAAGCCTGGAAGCATCCCTGGAAATCTTTCTTTGTCAGCCTGTCAAGCACCATCTGCGATTCTGCTCTTACTTCCTTTCTAAG